TTATGAATTATTTTCATTATCTGCATCTAATAAAGAATATCTGTTAAATATGTACAATCTAGAATAACAAACAGTGGTAGAGCCTGCTTTGAGCAAACTTCATTGATTTTATTTTTAAGAGAGATAATTTACTTTATAAGATAATTCCTCATTGGATTTCTTTAAATAGCAAGATTTTTCAGGCTATTTTAAAATTTCAGGTTACTCAAATTTAACTTTGACACATCTTTCCAGGATTATGATGCATAAAAGGTCCTTGTCACTTTATTTCCGTTTATTAATGTACTGCAGAAAGTACCAGCAGTTGGCTCTACAAGTACAAATTCTATGAACATCAAATTTCTACACTTTCAAAAATTATTAATCAGTATATTATTAATAATCTTAATTATAGCAGCACAGTGTTAATAATATATATTCCGGCCAGGCAAGGTGGCTCCGGCCTGTAATCCCAGCACTTTGGGAGGCTGAGGTGGGTTGATCACCTGAGGCCGGGAGTTCAAGACCAGCCTGACCAACACTGAGAAACACCATCTCTACTAAAAATACAAAATTAGCTGGGTGTGGTGGCACATGCCTATAATCCCAGCTACTGGGAAGGCTGAGGCAGGAGAATCACTTAAACCCAGGAGGTGGAGGTTGTGGTGAGCTGAGATCGCGCCATTGCACTCCAGCCTGGGCAAAAAGAGCAAAACTCTGTCTCTGTATGTATGTATACATACATCTATATGTATACGTATATATACATACAGATACATATATATACATATAGATGTATGTATATATACACATACAGACACACAGACACACACCCCTCCAGTAGCTTTCTCCCCAGAATCCCCAACATGGTGACAAAAGTACTATTAACAAAACTGGGATGGTTGCCACTCTGCTAAGTGGCAAAAAACAAAAATTTTAATTTTAAAAATTGCCATTTAAAAAAGTTTTATTTTTTTTTTTAGAGACAGTATCTCAGGCTGGAGTGCAGTTGTATAATCATAGCTCCAGCCTCTGTGACAGATGATAGAAGGAGAACTATAACGGTGAGTGAAGTAAAAACAGGAACTAAAAGAAGGTGGGGATTCTAATTTTTGAAGAACTATGTTAAAAAGTTGGAGTATAATGATGCAATCTAGGCTAACTGCAACTTCCACCTCCCGGGTTCAAGCAATTCTCCTGCCTCAGCCTCCTGAGTAGCTGAGACTACAGGTGCCCGCCACCATGCCTGGCTATCTTTTTGTATTTTTAGTAGAGACAAGGTTTCACCACATTGGCCAGGCTGGTCTTGAACTCCTGACCTCAAGTGATCCACCCACCTCTGCCTCCCAAAGTGCTGGGGTTACAGGCATGAACCACCGCATCCAACCAGATGGCAATAGTTTTTTAAGACAGTTCTTAACCTTGACAGAATTAAAAATTGGAGATCTTATGTCTGGTCCCAATTGCCCCCAACACACACAGTGTTTTACTTGCCCTTGAAGTCCAAAAGTCTGGAAACCATTGACTTAGATGTCTCGTTTTTCTCACCAATGAAGTGGTGAAGGGGAAACTTGCAGAATCCTGTGTAGTAATGTTGACATATACATATTATTAATAGTATCAAGCCTTTAGAGTTTTATACTAGCATCACCATAAAAAGCTTGACTAATTGACTTGAAAGTTTGCTTAATAAAACCAATATCAAATAGTACAACAGAATGGTCAAAGGGTGAGTTCTGGAGTCAAACTTCCTGGATTTAAATCCTGTGGCTGAGACCTGTAATCCCCAGCACTTTGGGAGGCCAAGGAGGGCAGGTTGCTTGAGCTCAAGAGTTCCCGATCAGCCTGGGCAACATGGCAAAACCACAACTCAACAAAAAGTTTAAAAATTAGCCTGGGGTAGTGGTACCTGCTTGCAGTCCCAGCTACTTCGGAGACTAAGGCAGAAGAATGGCTTGAGCATGGGAGGTTGAGGTTGCAGTGAGCCATGATAGTACCACTGCACTCCAACCTAGGTAAGACTGAGACCCTGTCACAAAAACAAAAATGAAAACAAAACAAAATAAATCCTGGCTTTGCCATTTGCTAGCTCTGTGATGCTGAGTAAGTCATAACCTTCCTGATTTGCAGTTTTCTCATCAGTCAAATGGGAATGTTAAACCACAAAACCTATTTAATAGGCTTAAGATTTAAATTAGATAATCCATTTTAAGATGCTTATCACAGTGCCCTCCAGGTGCTCTAGAAATGCTAGCTATCATCATAAGCATTACTATTAGTAGTTATAAACTAAGATGGTCATAAGGTGCCTTCTAAATGCCTGCTAGTTTCTGCATCAACATCTTTTAATGATGAAATTAACATAAGAGGCTATAAGGATAATGATGATTAACATTTATTTAAAATATTACACATCCGCCAGGCCCGGTGGCTCACGCCTGTAGCCTAGCACTTTGGGAAGCCAAGGTGGGCAGATTCGAGGTTGGGAGTTCGAGACCAGCGTGACCAACATGGAAAAACGCCGTCGTCGCTACTAAAAATACAAAATTAGCTGGGCGTGGTGGCACATGCCTATGATCCTAGCTACTCAGAAAGCTGAGGCAGGAAAATTGCCTGAACCCAGGAGGTGGAGGTTACTGTGAGCCAGGATCAGCACCATTGCACTCCAGCCTGGGCAACAAAAGCTAAACTCTGTCTCAAAAAAAAAAAACAAAAATTTTTAAATCAAATTGCTAGGTCAAGAATGAGCATTTGGATGGCATAAAGATACAGGCAACATCAAATGTCATCCTCAACAAGTATATACAGAATCAATATATTTTTCATCACTTTTGAAATTTGTACATATTGATCAAAGGAGGTATAATATGCAGCCATAAAGTCAAAATGGTAGCTTTTGAATAAAATAGTTAACTTCTAATAAAAGTTATCTTCTTATAAAGTCAATGTAACTTTTATTTGGTGTGAATTTTGTCCTCTAACATTAATCCTTAGTAAATATAGGTTTTAACGTTATTTGTGTTTTAAAATATGGCTAGTTTGGAGGACACAGTGGCTCATGCTGGTAATCCCAACACTTTGGGAGGCCAAAGCAGGTAAATCACTTGAGGTCAGGAGTTCGAGACCGGCCTGACAAACAGGGTAAAACCCCATCTCTACTAAAAATACAAAAAATTAGGAAGGCGTGGTGGCAGGCCCTGTAGTCCCAGAAGGCCAAAACAGGAGAATAGCTCGAACGTGGGAGGTGGAGGTTGCAGTGAGCCGAGATCGCCGTTGCACTCCAGCCTGGGCAACAAGAGAAAAACTCCATCTTAAAGAAAATAAAATATGTCCAGTTTGTCAGAAATTCACCAAAATAAATCAGGATTTTTAACTTAATATACAAATTATACAAATATGGCTGGAAGTTTTTAATTTTACAAAAGAAGTTTCCAATTAGTAAATGTGTTTTTTTCTTTATGAATATTTTGTATTTTCACAAATATATTAAAAGACAAAAACATAAACACCCTCTAAGGGTGTCACCCATAAGCAGTTCTTCTCAGGAATAGCTATTAAGCAGCAATACATTATTCTCAGGAGAATATTTCTACAGAAGCCTAGCCCAACATTTCCTACTAATGCATGATAAAAGTCTTATTTTTATCATGAGCCGGGTGCTGTCGCTCACGCCTGTAATCCCAGCACTCTGGAAGGTCAAGGTGGGTAGATCATTTGAGGTCAGGAGTTCGAGACCAGCCTGGCCAACATGGTGAAACCCTGTCCCTATTAAAAATACAAAAATTAGCTGACCTCAGGTGATCCACTGCGTTGGCCTCCCAAAGTGCTGGGATTACAGATCACATCCACAGCGTCCAGCTTATAGGTACGTTTTTTTTAAAAAAAAAAAAAAAAAAAAAAAAACTGTTTCTTTCATCTAACTGACAGAATATCTGTAAATTGATCATCAAAATTACGGATACATCATAATTAGCTTAACAACATGTGGGAGTGGGGGTGCAGGATGCAGCTATGAAGTTAGACCACTTGAGTTTGAATCTAGGCTTTGTCACTTTAAAACTGTGGTCTTGGGCAAGTTACTTAACAGTCCTAAACCTTAGATTCCTAGTTTGTAAACTGGAGACAGTAACAGTATCCAACCTTAAAGGGTTATTTTGAGATAATCCGTGTAGAAACCAGCGCTCTGCCTGTCACTAGCAATTAATATGTGCTTCTATTGTTATCATTATCAATTGCAACACTAACAAATAGCAATGCTATTAACCGCTTTGCTTAGAGGTGATGGCCACAAGCATTAGGAAGATAAATCCACAGAAAGGAGATGATAAAACGTTTTTGTAAAGAAGTACTTCCGTTGAGGGTTGTAATTTGATCACGCTTCTCACCACAAGCAACATATATTTTCTAGAATTATCTCCAGAACCAAAAAAGAAAGTCGAAACCTAGGCCCACCTTAGGTAATACCACACGCAGAAACAGTTATCGCCAGCGTGTAAGAAACACCTGCCAATCCCCGTCCACAGATGGCATTTCATTTGAATGGATGGAACCGGTCCAATCTTACATCTCTCCAGCCCGCAGCAAGTCTTTTTTCAAAGGGAGGAGCCACACACACAGCCTAACTCCTGCCGCCAACTCGGCCCAGATGAATACAGGAAACGTACCACAGGGGTTTCCAGCCACAAAAGTCCTACTGTGCAGGGGGCAGAAGCAGCGAGAAAGAGATGCCGGCGTTTGGGAAGCCCAGTGCCTCGCTCCCGGGCGGATGGGGCGCCCTCCGGCACCGGCGGGCGGAGGAACCGGGAAATCGCGCAGCGGCCGCTGGAACCGGGGTCGCCGCGACGCAGTCGGTCCCCCGCCCTTAGCGCGGACTCCGCGGGCCTCTTTCCCTCCCCCAGCCCCCACTGCCAGGCCGGGACCGGCGCGGGCCGCACGCGCGGAGGCAGGAAGCCTGGCCGGGGAAGGCCGGCGCCAGCTCCCCTCCCGGACCCCTGCCCGGGCCCCGCCGCTCCGGGCCTTACCAGAGGTCTCGCGCCGCGACAGGTGGTGCTGCTGGCGGAGAGGCCGCGCCCTACAGCCCGCTCTGGCGATGCTCAGCTCCCGCGCCGCCCGGCCCTCCCCTTCTGCGAGCCTTCCGGAGCCGGCGCCAGCTCAGGCTCGCACGGGCCGCCCCACAAGCGGAGGCAGCCTGCAGAGCGGCCGGGTGAGGGTAGGGCGCGCTGAGCCGGCCGGGTGCGGGGCTGGGCGGGTGCAGCCCACGGCGGAGACGGAGCGGGGCGGGGACCAATGGGAGGCAGGAATAGGCCGGAGGGGCGGGCTCCGCCTGGAGGCTTAGCGGCTGGCTTCGGGATTCCTCCCTTTCGTGCGTCCCTCAGCCCGGCTCTTGGAGGTTACGGTGTTGAGGCAGGATGGGCGCCCTCGTGGACGCGATGCTGAGGGTATGAAAAGTGCAGTGCAGACGAGGAGGAGCTTTGCCGCTCCCTGAAGGAAGCAGGGACTGGCCGACCGCGCCCCCCCGCACTCCCGGCCCGGGGGTCCCAGTCTCCGAACCCGCGGAGGCCAGGAAAGCTGGGAGTTGGGGTCGTCCTGTCTGAACCACAGAGGAAGGGGGAGGACCGAGGGCAGGAGGCAGCAAAGGAAGGAGGAAGAGGACTCGGGAAATCCGAGGCTTCCGCACTTCAGCTACGCTTTCAGTTTCCGAGCTGTTTTGTGTGCGTAGGACTTACTCTTCTGCAGAATTCTTCGCCAGTCCTCATGGCTGCTGGCACGGTTATTGGCCTGCGGGGAATTTACCAATCACCTGCACCGTCACAGTCCCCATAAATAGATGTTCAATGTTCTGTCTCAGAGAAGCACCGGAACACTTTATTGTCTTGTCCTTGAAAGCAGCAGGGACCGTGCTTTCCTACATCCCTACCCCGCACCGCCCCTCCCCCACGGTTGTGACAGGATATTTACGCACCCTTATTTCACAAAATGTTATCACCAAAAATTATTTGCTGTAATGAATTTGTGTACTCTTAAGTCATGGTCATGGCAATTTCAAAAATAAGATATAAAAGATAAAAAAGACAAGGCAGAATAAAATTAAAAGTGATGGAAATGTAGGATTGAGAGAATGGAGTGGAAGTAGCGAAGAGTGAATTGCTCCCTCCTAAACTCTGACAATTATGTAAAATCTGGGGCAACCGCCCCTCTCTGAACATTGAAGGGTGTGGCAGGTGATAACCCATAGGTGCGGTTGCGGCCACCGCAGGAAAAGAGGTTATAAATATGCATGACCTAAAGTATCCCTGCTTGCCAGAAACTTAAGAGGCAGCAAGTTGGATGAAGGAAGCGAAACACTACAAGTGTATTTCTATATAAGCACTTCATTAGTAGAGGTGAAATCCTTTCTCTTTCAAAGTTGTGGGGTTATGGGGGGTGGAAAGGGAATGGGGAGATGTTAGTCAAAGGGTAAAAAGTTTCAGTTAGGAGTAAGTTTTAGGAATACCACACAGCATGGTGACTATAGTTCATAATGTATATTCACAATGGCTAAAAGAGCAGATTTAAAGTATTCTCATCAAAAAGAAGTATGTGAGATGATGGATATGTTGGCCTAATTTGATCATTTCACAATATATTGAAACATTACATTGTATCCCATTGCATATAGGATACACATTTTTTTTTCTTTTGAGATGGAGTCTCGCTCTGTCCAGGCTGAAGTGCAGTGGCGTGATCTTGACTCACTGCAACCTGGGCCTTGTGGGTTCCAGTGATTCTCCTGACTCAGCCTCCCGAGTAGCTGGGATTACAGGTGCCTGCCACCATGCCCGGCTAGTTTTTGTATTTTTAGTAGAGATGGAGTTTCTTGCCATGTTGCCCAAGCTGGTCTCGAACTTCTGTCCTCCTCTGCCCACTTCGGACTCCCAAAGTGCTGGGATTACAGGCATGAGTCACCCGTGCCCGACCATAAGTATATACAGTTATTGTTTGTTAATTTAAAAATTTTAAGAACAGTTTGTCCTGCATTTGAATAATCCCAGGTTGAAGGTTGTAGAGAGCTATTATGGAGGGAACTTATTTTGCTTAAATTGAAGTCAATTCATTCCTTATTGAATACCTGCTACTGTCAAGGAACAACGCTGTTTTCTGGTCTGCTCTGACAACAGATTCTTTGGCCCACTCCTGCAATCCCAGCACTTTGGGAGGCCAAGGCGGGCCAATCACC